TTAAATAAATGCAAAATGAAATTATTTTAAGACATTAAATTATAAAACGCAAATATAAGTGAATAAAAAAATATTGAAAAACAATCTATACTAAGAAGAAGGTCAAAAAAAACTTAAATAACGTCAAAATGAAAGGATTTTAAGACTTCAAATTATAAAACGCAAATGTAAGTGAATAAAAAAATTAAACCAGACCAGTAACTTATTTGATGGGGACAGGAATTTTTTAGAATATTATTACTTACGAATAGGTTGACTAAAATATCATTTTCTAAAGAGATAGTTTGCATATAAATGACAATACTCCAGTTAAATTAAGAAAATAGTAATTATCGCCGGCAAACAAAGATTCTTCTCTTACAAAAAATAATATAACAAATATTAATAGCTTTCTTGCACCTGTTTCTCCTTAAAAATTTTAAAAATTAGAATCTATTAATAAATAAATATGATATTTATTATATTTTATTAATTTTTTTTTATTGTTTTCATAATCTTTTATAAAATATTAAATCAAAAAATGCGAGAAAAATTTTATTGTCTTTTTTTTCGATTAATTTATTAAAAAATATATAAAAAAAAAATATATATGTGAATCCAATAATTTGTCATATATATATATATATATAAATAAATAAACTCTTATAACTTTAGTAATATTTATTAACAATGAATAGATCAAAATTTATATTTTATAAATTAAGAATTTTTTTTTAAAATAAAATAATATTAAAATTAGTTTTTAATGAAAAATAATTTAAATATAACAGAAAATAAACAAACTATTTATAATTTTATTTTTCTTATAAAAATAAAATGATACTTTATTATTAAAACTTTTGGTTTTTAATTATTTTATTTTAAATTTATTCATATTTAAATTAAAAATGTTTACTAACAGATTAGATTCATGGGTTATTTTTAATTATTAATATTCGATTCTCTTCATCAAACATAAATTAATGAACATAACACTTTAGTTTTTTTAGCTTCATATTGAAATAATAAATTTCTTTATCTAAATCTTAATCCAAAGATGTTTTCGATAAAAAATAGTTTTCCAATAGGTAAAAGTAATAAATTCAATCCATAGATTTTATCAAAAACCCATCTATCTATTTATTTAAATCAATTCCTATTTTTAAAAAACTTAATTTCCGAATCTTTTATTGCCAAACTTAAATTATTTAATAATACTTTTAAAAGATAAATAAATTACATATCTTCTGTAACCCAAACCTAGAAACATTATCAATTGCAGATTCCTATTAAATGCAAATAAAAACTTAATAAACATATCAATTTTATTTGTTATTTTAATTATAAAATAATATTCTAATTAAATTTAAAATTAAAAAAAGATGCTATATTAATAAATATTATTATTTAAATTATATGTTAAGAAACTATTTAATATTAATAGATTAATAGATCATAAATCATTTATTAATTGAAATAGGCTTTTTTATAAATAAAAAATATTTAAATATTAGTATTTTATTGATAGTAATATAATTATATAAATTGTTACATTACCTAAAAATATTATCATTTTGTATTTATTAATATTAAGATAAATATCAGATATTTATTTATTTTATCATAACATATACATATAATAAAATTTATCATGAATATAATATTTTAAATAATTATATTATATTTCATACTAACCTTATTAAATTCAATAAACTTGCCTCAAAATTTTCTAAATAAAAATTGTAATAAAAATTATCCATATTATTCAGTTTCTGATATATATATCGGTGATAAAAATTACACATAAATTTTTCAAAACAACCAAATTTTATTAATCGCAACATTAAAATCTTGCCTATCTTGTTGCATTTATGAATAAAAATTTGCCAGAATAAAGAAAATAATTTAAAAAAATTTTTAAAATATAAAACTTGGAAGGCTTGAATTATCAGAAAACAAAGAATTTTAAACAAAATTTTAACAAATAAAGCGATTTCCTTTTATTATTTTCTTCGAAAGCCTAAAATAATATCATATATATTATGATTTATTAGATATAACCCGAATTCGAAGATTTTTAGAAAGAATAAAATATCCTTTTTAAATTTTCAATACATTACCAGATTTAGAAAAAAATATTTAAAAAAAAGAAATGGAAAAAGATGATTAAAATAATAATATAGAAACAGTCTAAATAATCGGTATTTTTTACGACAAAGAAGAAATGTTTGAAGAAATAGATCATTTTAAAAAAGTTTCTATAGAATTATTAGCGCGAAGTGAATTATATTTCAGTATTTTATAAGATAGACAATAAATTCTAAAAGCAAAGGAAAAATATAAAGAAAAATGGTTTGATTAAATTTCACTTAATTCAATAGTAATCAAAAGAGATTTTTTATATGAAGTTATTGATTTAAGCGATATCATAGTGGACATGAAAGACTTAAAAAAAACAATTAAAAATACCTCTTTAAAGCTTTGTGATGAATTTACAATGGAAAATTATCCAGTTTATGAGGGAAAATAACACATATTAGTCGCAGTAATCGATTCTATTGTCGAAATTGAAAAAAGCGGTAATTTATTGGTTCTTTTGGAAGATTTAGGGAAAACTTATTTTCATAAGAAGCTTTATTTTTTATGGGTGGAGGGTAATTTAAATATGGAAAAGAAAAAAATGTTTGGCATTTAAGACAATGCTCCTTTACCTTAAATAGCATTTTTCCGCATTGATTATATTTCCAAGATTGCTTTTCCAGTAGATTCTTTGGAAATTAATAAAAAAAATTTAAAATAATTTATTGATGATTATTATTCACTTTCTCTTTTGGATATATAAGAAAAATATGCGAATTTTAAAGAAAAAAATTTAAAAATGTTCGCTGTGCAGTATTTGGTGGAATTTAATTATATAAAGGGTGATTTTATTTTTTAAAAAAATAATAAATTTAAAATAATATATTTTATGTATTTATTTGATCGAAAATTTAGTTAAGATATTAATTATGTGGCTAAAAGACTTAAAAATATATTTGGAAAGAATTATTTTGGTTTTTTTTTTATTTTAGAAAATGATTTTAATAATTTAAATAATCAGTATGCTTAAAATTTAAAAAAAGAATGTACAGAAAATTGTATTCTTTTGTAAAATTAATAAAAAACTTATTCAGAAAAAACTAAAAAATTAGCAAATATAAATGATGTTTTTAATTTTATTTCTAATAGTGAAAAATAAATTATTTTTCCAGAAAATCCTTAAATTGAAGAAAAAAAACTTTTTGAGTTTTATTAAAAAAATTGATTTTATTGAATCAATATTGTTAAAGCATGTAATTTTTTTATATAAAAACTAAAAATAAACAATATATAATTAGTTATTAGTTTTTAATTTTAAAGATTTTTAAAAAATATTTTAAATTATATATATCTTTTTTAATTTATTACAATAAATAAAAAAATGAAATTCATAATATTTATACTTATATCAATTTCATTGTTTGAATGCAGAAAAAAACCTTCGAAAAATTCGGGCAAAAGACCTTCTGCTATCGAGCCAGAATTATATTGCAATAGTTGCTAAGCAGTCCTTAAGGAAATTTTTAAAAAAATACGTGATTCTCGTAAAGAATCCGATGTAAAAAATATAATATTATATATATGTATATAATTTTATTAATAATAATACAAAGATTGCATATGCAATTGATGGAATTTGTAGATAAAATAATTTTGCAGTTTATGAATTCCCTCCACCTGATATGGTTAAAGGATGTTAAGCTTTTATGGGAGTATTTAAAAATATTTATAAAATCTTTAATATTTTTTTTGAAAATAAAGACATGGGAAGAAACTGTAGAAAAAGCTTTATTAAATAGAGGTAATAATGAAGAAATGGAACATGAACTTTGTAATGTTTAAACAAAAGTAATTTTTTTTATATTTCGTAATAATTTTTTTCAAATTTAATTTATTTTTAAAGGCTTGTTTAGGGGTTGATATGGAAAATATTTCTTAATACGATAATATAGTAACTGTTAATAATAAGAAAGTTCCTTTAGTAAAATTAAAAAATATATAATTATTTTTAATGTATGTTTATTATATTTTTTTAAAGAACAAAGGAGGACTTAAAATAGATTCAGAAGATTTATGAAAAAATAGTATTTAGTTAAAAAAATAAGATTTTATAAAATATATATTTTTTTGTATTCCTTTATTAAAATTTCGAAAAATTTATAATTTTATTAAAAATTATAAACATAACCTTTTTTTAATAATTTCTAATTATAAATCTATTTGTTAAAGTTTAAATATTTTAAAAATATAATAGTTAACTTTTATAGTCTTTAATAATAAATACAAGCCTTATTAAATAATTAAAATAATAAGACTGTCTTTTTTTAAATAATTTATATAAAAAAATATTAATATTATTTGTTAAAATTTATGTTGTAAAAATATAAATATTAACTTTATTAAGCTTTTAATAATAAAAAATATAATAAATATAACATTTAAGAAATATTATAAAATAAAAATTAATAACAATAATATTAAAATAAAAATAAAATAACTAAAAAAATGGATACTTAAACATTAACCCAAATCTTAGAAAATCGTCAAAGATGGAATGAATCAAAAATATACGTCGAAAAGTTAAAAGAAAAAACACTGACATAATATCAAATTTACTAGCAAATCTCTAAGAAATAATACATAATGATTAAAATAAACCATTCGCAAGACTTGGAGCCGTTCATTTATTACGTTAATGTATGTAAGTAGGAAATCTGGATTTTACGTATTATGTATAAGAAGGCGAATTTTTAAATAAACTTGCTTAATATTTAAAACTTAAAAACCCAAAAATTATTTTAAAAGCAAATCCTAATGCAGAAGAAGAACTTATTTCAAACACTTTTTATATTAATATTCTCGAAGATTTCATTATGTGGTTAATTTGGTTTCCTCATGATATATTAGATGAAACTTAGCCTTCTAAATTTATAATTATTTAAAACAAATTGAAAAAAGAAGGCGTTAAATTTCCAGAAAAAGTAAAAAATTATTTTATATTAAATATATTAAATTTTATAAAAAAGTTATAATCATATAAACCTGAAGATAAATAAAAATTTATAAATGGAGTTTTACGAGTAAAAAGTAAAAAAAGAAGAAGAAAAAAGTAAATAAACAGAGCAATCCAAAGAATAAAAAATAAATAACCAGCCAATGTAAACAACAAAAGGCAATGAAACCTAAAATTTAGAAATGGAAATTGGTGAAAAACTAAAAGAATTTAAAGGCATAAAGTAACTTTTAAAAGAAACTTTGGAATAATCAAATGAAAAATAGTATGATCTTGATATTATATAAGTTTGTTCTTTACAAATGAGTGAATTTTCAGATTATACAGATTAAATAATAAGCGAAGATTTAAATATAAATATTAATTTATAAGAAGTACTATTTAATGATTCAGAAATTTGTTTATAAATAATTAGTGTATTACAAAATTTTATTAATAAATAAATTTCTTTTAATGATATGAAGAAATAAGTATATCCTTTAATTAGTTTACAAATTACAGACGATGGAAATAATAAGAAATAAGAAAGTTAATAAATATAATTTAATAGTAATGAGTATTAAAAACAAAATAAATCAAATATATAAAATAATTTCTAATAAGAGGAAAATGTATAAACAAAAGTTTAATAAAGTCAAGAAAAATAATAAATTAAGTCGCAAGAATAAATTTAAAAAAATGAAAATATACATTAATAAGAAATTAAATTTATCTAAAATAAAAAAAAATAATTTATAAGAAAGTAAATTATCTTATAGTATTCCATAAGAAAGTAATATTAAAAATATTCATTAAGAAAGTAAAATATTAAATAACCAATAATCAACTAAATTATTAAATAATTAATAAGAAAGTCTATTAATTAGTATTCCACAAGAAAATAAAATTTAAAATATTCAATAAGAAAGTAAAATTTTAAATAACCAATAAGCAACTAAATTATTAAATAATTAATAAGAAAGTAAATTATCTACTATTCCACACCAAAATAACCTTTAAAATATTCAATAAGAAAGCAAAATACTAAATAATCAATAAACAAGTAAATTATTAAATAATTAATAAGAAAGTAAATTATCTAGTATTCCGCAAGAAAGTAATGTTTAAAATATTCAATAAAATAACTAATAAGCAAGTAAATTAATAAATAATTAATAAGAAAGTTTATTATCTAGTATTCCACAAGAAAGTAATATATAAAATATTTATTAAGAAAGTAAAATATTAAATAACCAATAGGCAACAAAATTATTAAATAATTAATAACAAAATAAATTATCTACTATTCCACATCAAAGTGACTTTTAAAATATACAATAAGAAAGTAAAATTTAAAATATTTAAAAATAAATTAACATTTAAAATATTCCATAAGAAAATAAAAATTAACATATTTAACAAGATGGTAAAACTTATAATAATTAATATGAAAATGAAATTAAAAAAGATTACAAATAAATCAAATTAAGTAATATTGATGAAAATGAATAGATTTAGGAATTAATCAAACTATAAAATAAGTGGCAAGAACATAAAGACAATTAAAGTCTCTAATAAAAAAAATAATAAAAATAAATATATATTCAATTAGAAAATAAAACATATAATATTAATAACAAAATAAATTTTATAATAATGAAAAACATAATGAATAAAAATAAGAAGAAAATAAAAAAAAAAAAAATTATGTCTTATATTGCATATTGTATAGAATGATTATAACTCAATAAAAAAACAATAAAATAACAAAGTAAATTGAAATTATATATAAAAAAGAAAATATATAAAAAAATAAAAAAATAATATATTATAAATAATAAAATAGTTTATTATCAAAATATATAAATATATAAATATATATATATATAAATATGTATATATATTAATATATATTTATATATATATATAAATAAAAATATAAATATAAATATACATATAAATATACATTTAATTTAAATTATTAATTTATTATTTATCGTTTTTTTTGTTTGTTTTTGATTTTTGCTTTTAATTAATATATATAATTTTAATTTATTTATTAATTTATTTTTATTTTTCGTACCTATAATAGGGCATTGTTAATTTTTTTTTATTTTATATTTTAAATTAATATATTTTTTCTATTTCAAGATGTTTAGATTATAAAATATAAATAATAAATGCATCATTTTTAAAATTATCCATTCAGTATGGTTTAAAAAATTAATTTTTTACTATATAATAATAATTTTATATTATTTTTATAATACTTATAATTAATAATTACAATATATTTTATTTTATCATTTTTTATTTCAAAAAACAAAGTAAGTACTAAAATTAATTGGGAAAAAAAAAATATAATTATAATTTTTTTTTAATATAAATATAATATTGAATAAAAAAATGTGAAATATATTACATTTATAATAAATTAAAAAAATAATAAATAAAAACATTTTTATTATATATAAAAAAAAAATAATAATATCTTAAAAAAAAGAAAGTAATAATACTGAAATATATTGAAAACAAAAAATGAATAATATTACACTATAATTAAATCTAAATATTAACTAACAATTTGAATAAAATAATAATTTATAAAACGATTTACATAATTAATACTTATAAAATAACAAACAAACTTTAATCGAAGAAGAAGATGAAGAAAATCTATATAGAAATTCTGTAAAAAGACTAAATTCTTTTTAAATATCCACAAGAAGTTCTACAAAAGCCGCTCCATCTGAAGAATATGCAAATAACCATATAAGTGAATTTTCTATGATCGAATTAAGAAAAAATTATACAAACGAAGAACACTATATATCCTAAATCTTCCAAAATTAACACTAAAATATTCCTAATCCTTAATAATATCTCCAAAATCATTAAATAACTACACAAATGCGTGCTAAAATGATAGACTGGATGATTGAAGTAATGAAATCCTTCTAAAATCAAGAAAGTACATTTAGTTTAGCTGTATAAATTATGGACACTTTCTTTTAGAAATCTAAAAGAATACTCTAACCTTAAGATTTACATATTATAGGAATAGTCTCGATGCTTATTGCTAGTAAATTCGAGGAAATTGTGCCTTTTTATTTACAAATTATGTACTAAAAGTCGGACACTTCAAAATTCCTATAAGAGATATGAAATAAATTGAATTAGAGATCCTTAGTACACTAGAATTTGACGTTAATTTACCTACTTTATATACTTTGGCCTTTTGATTATTAAGAATTCTTGAACTTTAGATTAATTCGGAACATTTCTATGAATAATAAATGTAGAATTTAAAGGAAGTAATAATTTATATGTGTAAAATGTCACTTTTTGATTGTGAATTGATGTCTTTTTATAATCTTAAATAAATTGCTGCCGCCTGTGTTTATGTATCTTTAAAAGTAATTGATTAAGTACATAAACTCTCTTTTAATACGAGAATTTCGAAAATGTGATTTTTAGCTTTTTTGGTATCGAAATGAAGGATCAATTGACTTCTGTATCATCTTAAATAGTAAGATTGGCGAAAAACTTTAAGAATATATTCCCTTGTTTAGGAAATCTTTAAAAATATAATGAATATTTAAATAATAAACACGAACAAAATTAATAATAAGAAAAGACTGATAAAAACAATATACCAAAAGTTAAAAAACAATATAAAAGGATAAAAAAAGAACTTCTAAATTAAATTGATGAATTTAATATCTTCTTCTTCTTCTTCTTTTTTTTAATAAATACAATTCTATTTATAATATGTCTAATATTTAACCCCAAAAAAAGAAAAAAAAGAAAAAAATATAGTCACTAGAAGTTCATCCCCCCCTTCCCCTCCCCACAC